ATCTATCTATCTATCTATCTATCTATCTATCTATCTATCTATCTATCCTTAGTTTAGAATATCCATCCACCCACCCACCCATTCATCTCTCTGTTTATCTGCACATTTCTTTTACATTTCATTTTAATTAACTCTGATTTCTGTATTCTACATGCTGGTCTACAACCGAATAAAGATTTGATTGATTGCTGTTCTGGGAAGCTACTGAATAATATTTTGCACAACCCTATAGAAGTAAGCATTGGAAACCGTGCGATGTATAAATCATTGTAGATTCAGGCCAAAAATTGAGCTGGTTGGTCTATATTGACACTCCTAACCACTTTCTATCTACAAGGGCAGGCTGCACTCAAATGTACTCACGAATGCCGCAAGATGCATTTCCTTTGAAGGGAAAGAGCTTTAGCAATGATTTGCCCACCCCCTCCCCCCAAGATCCAGGTTTCAAGCCAACCGAAGATACCAAGTGACAAGACTGAGAAGGATTATCTGCAGAGATAATCAATCAAAGTCGACTTTATTGGCTAGAGGGAGAGCAGTTGAGAATTCCCCAGGTGCAGCTCTTATAAATGCTCTTCAGTGAAGTTGCCAAGGGTCACACAAGGCAACAGCCAACTGATTGTAGAGTTGATGAGGCTCCGTTAGAGAGCAAAGATTTACCTTTTAAATTCATCGTGGTAGAATTCCGATTTGCACGTCACCATCTCACTGGTTTGATTGTCATCACGGCTTCTCACTCCACCAAAGACATAGAGCTCTGAAGCCACGCCACACGCCACAGCCCCAAACCTGAAAAATAGTGGAAGATGAGACATGTAAGCATGTACATTAACTCAGCATACATGTTACTAACCCCTTCCCATGTTGTCTTAGCGATTTCATCCAACCTCATCCAGGCTTGGGTAGGTATGTTTCTTGGGAGTAAGCTGCTGCCTTAGTATTCCTGCCTCTTATTCCCCTGCACAGCTCAAGTGAAGTCTCAAAGGATAAGAATCCTTTGCTTATTGGGGATGCTAGCTCATCATTGTCTTTCTTTCTTTGCTAAATTATTATGGATGACCATCTCACAAACAAAGGACTTTAAGGAATCTCACTAAACAGGCTATCCATTCTTCTTTATGTCCGTTAAGAAGGTTTCTGGCCATGGATTAATTTATACACTTTCACAATGGCATGGAAGTCAATTTCCATTAGAGGCCGAACACTTTAATTCTACTCATTGGCAGCCTTTAAAAACAGTAGAAGAGGTTTTCCCATCCTACTTCACACAAAACAGGGACCCATTTACATTTGAGTGCATGTAAATTGCTAACGGATTCATTGTTCTCTAAAACAACATCATTATGTACAATTACTTAGAGCAGGTAAAGAAAACAATTCAGTAATTAGAGTGAATGGAAACCTTTACTTTTTTAAAAAACGTGGAAACGTGGCTTTTAAAAAGGAAAAGAACAAAAATAAATCCTAGCCAAAGAGCCTAGATACCACTCATTCCCTCTCCATAGTCTGAAAAGAAATGCAGGCGGCTAGTCTATTGCCTGGCCAGAGGTGAAAATACCTTTTGCTAAGGTCACCTGCAACAGACTTCTTTCTCACCTGAACAAAAATTTCAGCACCTATGACGGCCAGGTTAATGCTTAAATCTAAGATTGATAAAGAAGATTCCAGGTTTAGTCCGTGAAACATTGAACAGCTTGTGAGAGTAGGGAAATGGTGGATGGATCTAGTCACCTGGCAGTGAATCTTAATAGCAATACACTTATATACCACTTCACATTGCTTTTACAGCCCTCACTAAACAGTTTACAGAGTCAGCATATTGTCCTCATTTACCGACCTCGGAAGGAAGGAAGGCTGAGCCTGGTGAGATTTGAACTGCCAAATTGCAGGCAGCCGGCAGTCAGCAGAGGTAGCCTGCAGTACTGCATTCTAACCACTGCGCCACCCAATAAATCTTAGTATCTCACTCACCTCCTCTCTTTCAGTGGGCAGATGGCTGTCCACTGCTGAGTCCTCGGGTCGTAACATTCCACAGACTCAAAGAGCTTTCCATAGGAACCCCCGCCCATCGCATAGATCTTCTTCTTCATAGCTGCATAGCAACCAATCTTAAAAGTGAAAATGCACAACATCTGTTACACAGAGCAAGGCGTGAGTCGATCCACCACAATGTCCCGACGAAAGGCAGCGACACAACAGTAACACAAATGATGAACTCTTAAAAGGGGAAGTCCCCTCGTGCATTAATCGACCAATGGTTAAAAGAAGATCCCATGCCTGATACAATTCAAAATAAAAACAAGAGTCCAGAAGACGGAGTGCTTTAAAATTTGGATCCCTATTTGGAACGTAGGAAGGCAATTCCAACAGGATGGCTCTAATGAGATTCAACTTTTCTCTACACGAGTTTAAGGATTGTTTCTCTTCTTAATCAGTTCTAATGGCAACTTGTACCTTAACGCTTGCATCTTGTATTATGCTAGATTCACAAAAGATTTTACCTTCCCATACCATGAAAAGAGGAAGGTGGAGGAGGAAGAGGAGGAGGGGGAAGAGGAGAGCGGGAAGAGGAACAGGAAGGAGAAGTGGAAAGGGAAGAGAACTGCAGAAAAAATTATCTTGTGATCAACATAAAAGAACGTAACCATGCTAAATTATGACCAGAATTTTATTCCTTGTAATGAAAATCTTTTAACGTTTTGAACAGTCTTGATCTTTGGATTAATTGTATCTGACTCTGAGGCCTCCTTGAAGCCAAGTTGGCAGAAATCAGACAAAAAGGTGCCATAAACCAATTGTCAAACCTGCAAGGGAGGTAGAAGTAGTATTTCTGCTTTAAATACATGAAAGCAACAGGCAGGTGTTGCTTGGATAAAAGAAACAAGCGGGTGTTTCCTCCTAAAGAATTAGAATTCCCTAAACCGTTCAAACAGTATATCTTGAGACAACCAACCAATTAAAAAAGGGCCTTTCTATTACTTCTTTTTTTTCCTCCCACATTATTTTATTAAGAGTGATACAAGATGATAGAGACCAAGATTGCATATTTGAAGAGATGGTAACAATCTGTGGAGCCCATCAAAGTCAGCAAGACTTGGTCCGGCTCAGCATTAAAAGTTCTTTAATTACCCCTTCATCACGCTCCACTCAAGCTTTCCAGAACAATTCAACTTCCTGCTTTTGACCGTTAAAGACATTTTATATTCAAAGGGAACAACCAAAGTTCCTTGAATTGAGAGACCTCAAGTGCTGCCTCAAAAGGTCTTCAGAATGGGTTGCCAAGATAAAGCTTTAAAGTTTTGCAGGACAAGGCTAGTAAAGGCTTGAGACAGGAATCATTAACAGGGACACTGTTTAATTTAAAATATCAATGAAATCAAGTGGATTTCTTGGCCTGACTACCTTTTGGGAGACAGCCCTTGCATACAGTTTTTTTCCCCAATTTTTAAAGTTTTGGGTTTTTTTTATATGAGACTGCTGGGTACTCGTGCTTCGCCATGAAACTATGTGGTCGGGGTTAGTTTTGGGGGAGGAAAATGGAGGGGGGGGATTTCTGGCTCTGCCTACCAGCATCCATCGGTAGTCATCTGGCTAGCGTCAGTGTCAGTGTATGAGAGAGTTGAGGGCTGTTTGGAAACTGATGCAGTATTTGCTGTGTGAGCAAGGAGGAGACAGCAAGGATACTGGGCATGGCTTAACTCAACTGTTCTGCACTAAAGCTGCTTGGTGCTGTGAAACTGAAACCAAATCTCCTCTCCTCTGTTTGTGTTTTGCATTTGGGACAGATTTCTTTTCAGGTGGGGAGGGGGAGTAGAACTCCTTAGCATCAGAGCGTGTTAATAATAATATAGGAAATACTAATGCTCCAATGGTCATTTCCAAAAATCCTTTCTTAGTGAGCACCTAGAAACCAAGAGGAGCATATGTGCCAAATTTCAAGTCTGTAGGCTTTACGGTTCTGGAGATTTTGTGATGATGCATGAGTGGTCTTTCGCTTATATATATATATATAAGATTAGATTGTGTCTGTCTGTCTGTTGAGAGAACATGACAGGGTGGTCAGTGAGGAAGCTTACTCTCTGGGAATCCATCTTAGTATCAACGTGTAAGGATTCTTCTATAACCACCAAAGGAGCTTTTGAGATGACCTTTTCGTTGCAACTGGTAGTTCTGGGGCCATTTCTTAAGAGCCTGCATGCTTCTTTGGTGTCACTGCCCTTTTCGCGGCTTTTTAAAAGTAGTTCAGAAGTTGAGTCTTGGCAACTGGATTTTTTTTCCCCCCAATTTTGGCTTGAAACCTTCTGCTGCTTATGCAAGTAGCTTCTTTAGTTCACTCTTGACTGAAGAAGCGACTCAGATAAGCAGTGAAACATTTCAAACCAAAAGGGAGAGGGGTCCAGCTGCCACGCCTCAACTTCCAGCTATGTTTACTTGGAAGACTGAGAATCTTCACTGACTTTTTAAAAGTACTTCTGAGAAGCACATAGATCTGGTTTTGAGGTTGAGGAACAGGGAAGAACAACATGAAGTGAACAAAATATATTTTTTTTATTTTTTTCTAACTGGCTGTGGATGTGATCTTCCATATGAAGCTTTTCAAAAGATGTTATAAAACCTCACATGGCTGTTTAGATCAGGGGTTCCCAAACTTGGCAACTCTAAGACTTATGGACCAGAATTCTCCAGCCAGCTATGTCCATAAGTCTTAAAATTGTCAAGTTTGGGGACCTTTGATTTATACTGAAATACTGAATACTGAAATTATTTCTCCTGTTGGGCTTTGGATAACCATCTCGATATAAGCGACGGGATAAATTGCTTAGAAAGTCCATCTTCTGAAGCAGGAACTACCTAGAAGTTATCTGAAGAACTGGCCCCACTGTTTTCAGCACCACAACCAACAACCGAAACATCCTTTTACAATATTAATACGTGGTGTAAATCCTATTGGCAGCTGCAGCAACTACATCAACAACCTTCTGCAACCTTGCCAAGAAAACTGCAGGAACCAGTCCAGGAGTCAACACTGACTTGATTCTCACAGACAAAACATCAGCTAGCTAGCTCAAAGGGTTGCTAAGAAAAAAAATACTAGTTATTCTGAGTCCATCACATGATGCCAATATGCACAGTTTTACAGTGTAAAGTCAGGGAAAGTTCTGGGGTTTCTGAGACAAGTGAACGAGAACTGTCCTATCAGGAATTGAGAATCTGCAGACCTTTGAAAACACAACTAGAGAACTATTCTCATCACAGTAATAGGATTTAGACTTATATACCACTTCACAGTGCTTTTACGGCCCTCTGTAAACAACTTGCAGAGTCAGCCTATTGCCCCCAACAATCTGGGTCCTCATTTTTACTGACCTTGGAAGGTTGAGTCAACTTTCATCTTTGAATATTAGTGGTTATGGGTGAGATGTATTGAAATCCAATAACATCTAGAGGGCCATAGGTTGCTCTATTCGAGGAGCCTGATTGAGAACAAACCCCAATTGGTATTGCTAGCCCCTGAACTAAAGTTGTAGCAAGACAACTTTAAGGATTTGTGTATTTCTGGGGACAGCCAACTCACAACAACTCTGGGAAACTTTATGACTGACTTATAAATTCCTAAATCAGTGCTTAATTTTCCTTTATTTCTTCCTCACTTACCTTCTCTTGTCCCTTGTCTATTAGATACTGTAATTCCTGCAGAAGCAATTTCTTCATTCGGTTTTCAATCTGTGTAATGGCAACGAGTACCTTGTGGTCTCTTTTAAGAGAAATTTGGCACTAAGCCCCAAAGAAATTTAAAACCTCTTAATTCAAGTGCATCTTTTTTTTTTTCTTGAGGATTGGGGAACGGCACAGAAAGGGAAACTGAGGAAAACAGAGCTTATTGTTTCACACTTACAATTGGTAATATTCTTTTATTTAAAAAAACACATAGAAAAAAGGAGTGGGGGAAAAAAAAAAGAGATACAGTACAGTAATTTCAGAAAGAAATACAACCAGCTTGCTTTTTCCTTTTGCCTGCCTCTTACCTTCCGAATCATTGTTAAGTCCGGTTGCTTTGTCCACGTCCTGTTGTAAATGTCGTAGGACTCCATGGAAGTGAGCACCTGTTCTCCATCCTCACCTCCCAAAACGTACAGCACCCCATCAATCTCGACCAGACCAAAATTGTGCCGGGCCTATTGGAAATACGAGGGGTAAGAACCAACTCTTAATCATACACTTCCACAAATTTTGTTAGGCTACAACACAAGCGACATGAGTGCCTAAGCAGCTACGGTACACCGTTCGTAGAAACTGCAAGCTACCTCGGTCATCGGTGGCAAGGGGCTCCACGTATTTGCATCTGGGTCGTACTTTTCGCCCGAATTCAGGGTAGTTTTGTTTTCATCCTGACCTCCCAGGACAAACAGGAACCCCTCTGAGAAACAAGCCATAAAGAGATATTTCAAAACACAGGTCAGAATGGTGGCACATCAAGCTATAACATGCATTTTATCAGAACGATCAACAACTGGGGAGAGAAAGAAGCGTTGGAATTAAATCACAGAAACGATTGAAAGGGCTACATCTTCAGGTTTTAATAACAGAACTGGAAGAAATATCTCCTCGTCCTACCCCCCTTGCTCAGCAGGAAACAAATGGCTGAGCAATCTCTTCTGAAAAACCACCAGTGATGAAGCACTTACAACCTCTTAGAGGTGAGTCATTCCACTAATTAATTGTTCTCACTGATAGAAAATTTCTCCTTAATTCTAAGTTGAATTTCTCTTGGTAAGATTCCATCCATTACTTCTTGTCCTATCTTCAGGTGCTCTTCTTCCTAGCTGGCAATAAGATTCCTGCCCAGCCAAACCACGATGGGTGTGAGAAGTGAGCCCGACTTTACAGCCTAACCAAGTTGCACCATTCCAGAACATTTCGGCCCAGATCTTCTCAGGAGCGTGAAAATTGGTATGCTGGACTACATCTGCAACTATTTCAATAGGCATGAGTGAATAATAACCCAGCAGGTGTAGTGGGCACCTGAATGAACATCAGACTAAACTATTTATTTATCTTCTTGAGTTTGGCTTAGTATGTTTTGTGAACACAGCCACTGTAGTTTGTTAAACGTAGTTAAGAAAACTATGGTTGGATATAATATATATATCTAATTACTGGCTCTAAGATGTTTAACAAGTTTCTGTTAAGCAGTAAAGAAAATGTACAAGGACAAAAGGATTACATCAAAAGAGTAAAAGAACCAGTTTAGTGTAGTAATGATGAGCTGGCCTAGTAAACTCAGTTCTAAGCCTCCCTTAGGCATGAATGCTGGCTGGGCGACTCCAGAGGAAAATAGGAGGAACAAGGAGTATTAGGGATATTGGCTGTCTTGAGTTACATATAAAAAAGGCAGGAAAGAAAGTGTGTGTTATTAAAAAGACATTTAGATTCTAGAAAGAGTGCAGAGAAGAGCAACAAAGATGATTAGGGGACTGGAGGCTACAAAACATACGAAGAACAGTTGCAATAACTGGGTATGTCTAAGTCTAGTGAAAAAGACAATGACAAGATAGCAGTGTTGCAACTGAGGGGCTGCCGCAAAGAAGAGGGGGTTAACCTATTCTCCAAAGTACCTGAGAGTGGGATAAGAAGCAATGGATGGAAATTAATCAAGAAAAGATTCAACCTAGAATTAAGGAGAAATTTCTTGATAGTTACAATAATTAACCAGTGGAACAGTGGCCTTCAGAAATTGTGGGAGTTCCATCACTGGAGGCTTTTAAGAAGAGACTGGACAGTCATTTTTCTGAAATGGGTCTAGGGTCTCCTGCTTGAGCAGGGGGTTGGACTAGAAGACCTCCAAGGTCCCTTCCAACTCTTGTTATTCTGTATTCTGACTATATTCATAGTCAACGAAGAATTTAAAAAAATGGTAAAATATATACAATGTGACTGAGTTCCTCTAAGACCAGGATGTACATGTTTATAGCACTTCCTTGTATACAATGTCTGAGTGGGAAATGACAGCATCTCCAAAATGGCCAGACAGTCCACAATATTGCAATTCTAAGCCGCAACCTTTTTTATACTTGCACCTACATCATATGTGCATACAAAATGTCAGGAATCCAATTGTGATGCTGCGTCTACAATCTTGCCTGTTCTAACTTCCACAAGTATGCACCCTCTGGAGAGGCTGCTAGAGGAAATGGAAGCAAAAAAATGTATTTTGGTGAAAACCTATCATACCTGTTAGAATGCAATAGCAAAAGGATAGATAAACTTCAGAAAAGCTATAAATACATAACATTTTCCACTGATCTCTTTTGAACAGTGGCTTGTATTTCTTAGTCAAAAACTGTTCACCTCATCAAATATTTATTTGATATACCACATGTGTCTGGCAAAACTAACATTTCCTCCTCCCTCCCTCCCTCCCTCTATGGTTTTTCCTCTAAACGAGAGATAAGTTAATTATTCACAGGTTAATACTTGCCCAGGATCTGATTGACAGTAGCTAAAAGATTATTTGACTTTGCAAATATTTAAAACTTTTGTACCCTTTTTCATTCAAGGGAAGGAGGGGACCATATTTCCTACCTGCAGAAAGTACACTGTGGTTTATCCTGGGTGTACTCATAGGAGCCAGCTCTATCCATAATTGCCTGTGACGGTCATACAAAGGGCACATGCATCGCACTGCAGCTGAAGGCTTCCTGGAGCTGAATAGAAAGAAAAAAGCAGAAATTAACTCATCTTTATTGGACAATTCATTGTTAAACAATTTTAAAAATGCTCTCTCTCTCTCTCTTAAATATTTCAGAAAGACTTGGCCTCCAATACGATTCACAAATTAATCAGTACTGGGAAAGACAGTAAGAAGCTGAGATAAACCACTCCCAAATAAAGCTTTATATATATATATTGGAGGGGGGGAAATTATAATTGATTCCTGGCTATAAAAAAAATCTCAATCAGAACACAACACTTTTATTTTGGGATGGAGGGAATAGAGAAAGAAAATCCAGGAGAAGAACTCAGTTATTTTGATATGAAATTATTCCACCTTATCATTTTGGTTAGAAAATGAACCATTTTTTTGGGGGGGAAAGGGAAGGATATGGTAGATTACCATATGCATCTTGATCATTAAATATAACCCAGCAAGGAACCAATTCAGGCTGCAACAAATGATCCTTTATAGTTTTCTACAAAGGTTTAGACCCAAAAGCTTTTCTGGAAGTAAAATATGGACACTTTGGCTACAACGTGGCATTTCACCATTTCTAAACATTATTTCAATATAAAAGGCGAGACGAGTCAGCTTGACCGGCAGCTGCCAAGACTTTCCCAGACTTTGGCTTGACGGTAGACATGGAGCTAACCCCGCGTTCAGTGATAAGTGTCTCAAAACAACCCATAATTCTCAAGCTCATTGGGTTCTTGCTCTTTTCCAGCCTTGCTTTTCTTCTTGCAGATGTTTGGTTACCAAGCCAGGTGAAACATCAGTAGTCTACCCGATGATGGACTTAGCTTGATAATGAAACATTTTTGCAGGAAAAGTAAGGTCAGCTCAGCGACAACCCAACCATGCAACCCTTAAGATCTGCTTATTCTCTGCTACATCGATGTCAAACATTTCTTTGATGGAGTGTTTGACCTTTATGTCAAATTTATGTCTTCTTATGTCTTTCTGACTCCTTCCCTTGCCAATGAGACCCACAGCCGCTTCCCTGAATGACTTACACTCTTTCTTCGCCCCCGACAGTCACGATGCACTCCGAGTATCCTCGGGGTTTAAAAGAAGCCAGCATCGCCTCTTCTTGCTGGGGTGGGGTGAGTGGAATGTTGTTACATTCTTTGACAATCTCCCGAACCAATGGCTCATTCATCATTTGTTCACGCAAGTAAGTAGAGTCCAATCCAGTGACCCACACAGCCGACATAACATCCTTCATATGAACCTGGAGAGCCACAAAGATGACGGAAGTTCACAAAATGATCCCGAGCTTTAAAGTTTGCGCTTAAAATTTCCTGTTAATTAGACTTTCGCAGGAAGAGAGGCAACTTCGAGCTATCTCAAAATGGTAAGAAATTCTACACCAAGTTTTAGCAATTGTAGGCCAAAGCGGGGGCCTTGTCCAAAGTAGAGAACAAATGGTTCCAACTACTAACTCTTGTAATGAATGTGTTGTCGTTTGCCAGCAGCCTGTGCAGATGGCAGCGGAATCGGACAACGGGGAAGAACAGGGAACAGTCCAGGAGTCTGGAGAGGACCTGCATCCAATGCAGAGATGGGGCCAGGACCATCTGGGAGTGGCGTGCTGACTCTGGAGCCTCCAGAGTCTGGCAGCAGCAAGGCAGAGGAACAAGGGGAGCCTGTTCCCAGTGTGTGTGTGCGCAGAGCTGCTAGAGGAGCAGCGGAGACAAAAGAGGCGACTCGGGAGTAAGGATTGGAGGTGATTGCCCCTCTCCTAAAGGAGTTAAAAGAGGTGCAAAGGTAGAGAAACCTTTGCAGGAAGCAAAGTCATTTGCTCTGTTCGGATTAAATCTGGAAGCTCTGTGTGGACTTTGAACTTCGGTTGTTTTTTTATAGTTAATTTGGCCCTTAGTTGTTGGCAACAATTCAAAGGAGAGAAAGGTGGGTGCTTATCTCGAGGGATTGTTTGGGACTCATTACTGGCTGGGAATGAACATAATTCCCAGTGTTGAAATAAAGCAAGAGTTGTTTGGACTAAGCGTGGGCTTAATTACAGTCTCGGGAAGCCTTGGTCAGAACAGAATGGAGACAACGGGGGCAGGGATGTGCCAAAAGAAAAAAAAAGAAAGAAGACAAGAAATAGTAGAGTCTATTTATGAGTTGAATGGTTGTAAAAATCTCAGATCCTGCTAATCTGGAGAATATGACTTTATGACAAAATTCAGCTTTCTTGTATTCCTAGTGTTCAGTCTTTAGATAAGAGTCTTGGTTTTGTAGCTAAGAAGATATATTGGACAGTGAGTGAATAAAGCCTGCTGACATCCTGGAGGTCAGGTAGTCCTCAACTTAAAAACAGTTCGTTTTAGTGACCGTTCAAAGATACAATGGCACTGAAAAAAGTGACTTACACCTGTTTTGCACACTTACAACCATTGCAGCTTCCCCATGGCCACATGATCAAAATTCAGACGGTTGGCAGCTGACTCATACTTATAACGGTTAAGAGTGTCCCAGGGTTATGTGATCACCTTTTTGCAATCTTCTGACAAGAAAAGTCAATGGAGACCTCAGATTTACTTAACCACTGTGCTGCTAACGTCACAACTGCAGTGATTCACTTAATGACTGTGGCAAGAAAGGTCGCAGAATGGGGCAAGCCTCACTTCACAAATGTCTCGCTTGGCAACAGAAATTTTGGGCTCAATTCTGTTCATAGGTCGACTACCTGTATAGGATGATGTATGAAGTACAGCAGGGGTCGCCAACCTTTTGGACCTCAGTGACCACCAAACTCATAATTTTAAATCTCCCGGACCAGAGACGCTGGGAAAATCCAAAAAAAACCTTCTGCAGGAAAATTCCCCACCCCATTTTCCTACCGATCAATCATTCTTTTATTCGGGATCACAGAATACCATCTCCAGCTCTGTTCTCAGGGGGAAGAGAGAGAGAGAGACTTTTGGCTTCATGCAAGGAAAGCAGCAGAAGTCTTTCTTTCTTTCCCCCAAACTCTGCCAGAATGGCGCAGCCTCTTGGACCAGGATGCCTTGAAGGGTCCCAAAGACCTGGCGGAGTTTGGGGCAGAAAAAGAAAGACTTTTGCTGCTTTCCTTGCGTGCAGCCAAAAGCAGAAGAAGAAAGAAGCGGAAAGAAACAGCCTGGTGGCCAAACCAGGCACGTGGGGTGAGTGGGGCAAGTTCTCCCACTGAGGCCTTTCCCCCCTCCCCTCACTACTTCATGTGGTTCACAATGCAAGCGACGCATGCCTTGTGTTCCCATGGGCCATGTGGGCAGCGCAGCCTTGTGTCCCTGCTCAGCCTGGACTAATTGCTTTGGGGGTGACATTTCTCTGCGGACCACCAAAGTCTTCTCATGGACCACCAGTGGCCCCCGGCCTACCGGTTGGCGACCACGGAACTACAGGAGCAAGCAAACTCAAAGCCGAGCAAACATGACTTGACCATGTTCCAAAACAGGGAGCCAAACACCCCACATTAGAAGCATCCAAATAAACCAACAGGAGCAAATGTTGTATGTTTTATCCAAACCTCTTAAAGGTAACTTTTAAGAGCCCTGTACCTTTCTTAATTCAGGATCGTGGGAAATCCACCGAATGACTGCTTCAAAAATATGTTTTTCATCCCCAACGTTCAACTTCTCCAAAGACAGCACTTCTTTGAGTCTCTGAGGAGTGAGTTCTAGGAATTCTTCCGTGCTGCTGACGTCCCGGAAGTGTGTTTCAAGGTACTCCGAGGCCAGGTAGTGAACGTGGAGTAGGCAGTAGTGTAGCGCAAAGTCCCGAATGCCAATGCAGTTTTCCGCAGCAATGCAACCTTCCAGAAACTCACAACACAGCTTCTTTAGGTCGGTAAGCAGCAACAGGTCAGCAGCTTGTACCACATCCTGGATGGTGTCTTCGCTTAGCTTGATCTAGGGGTCAAGGCAGAAAAGTGCGGCCGGTTATGACGAAGGCTTGAGTCAAATGCCAGATAGCTTCCTACATAAGCACCTAACTCCGTGATGGCGAACCTATCGCACGTGTGCCACAGGGGGCATGCGAGTCCCAGCCAAACTTACCTGCACTGCGCATGTGCGCACCTCCCAGCTGATTTTCAGCCCATTTGAGGCTGTTTTCGCCCTATTGGAGGTTTGAGGGAAGCCTTTGGAGCCTTGGGAGGCTGAAAAATTGGCCTTCCAGAAATACCGGAAGTGCCAAAACGGGCCTGTTTTCAGCCTCCCAAGGCTCCAAAGGCTTCCCTCGAGTCTCCGATAGGGCAAAAACAGCCTCCCCTGGGTTCCAGAGGCTCCCTGGAGGCTGAAAACGGGCAATTCCGGTATTTCTGGAAGCCTCATTTTTTGGCCTCCCGAGGCTGCCGAGGCTTCCCTTGAGCCTCTGGGAGGGCGAAAACGGACTCAAATGCGCCAAAAATCAACTGGGAGGCGCACGCATACACAATGCAGGTAAGGGGACAGGACAGGGGTGTTGCACACGTATGCGCGGAGCGCACTGCATTGAGGGTGCCGGCAGGAGTGTGCTTTCGGCACATCACAACAAAAAGGTTCGCTATCACTGACCTAGCTGATTTTTCCAGGTTTACTTTTAGATTAATAAACAGGTAAAAGTGGAGTGCTAGAAAAATACAAAAGGACATGTGAACCTGTTGTAGCAAGACCCACAGACTTTCTTCTTCTCCAGTAGACCCACATTTTTACTGGCTAGGTCATGAAATACAGGCGCAGAGAAGAGCAACGAAGATGATTAGGGGACTGGAGGCTAAAACATAGGAAGAACAGTTGCAGGAACTGGGTATGTCTAGTTTAATGAAGAGAATAATTAGGGGAGACATGATAGCAATGTTCCAATATCTCAGGGGCTGCCACAAAGAAGAGGGAATCAAGCTATTCTCCAAAGCACCTGAGGGCAGGACAAGAAGCAATGGGTGCAAACTAATCAAGGAGAGACGTAACTAAGACCTAAGGAGAAATTTCCTGACAGTTAGAACAATTAATTAGTGGAACAACTTGTCTCCAGAAGTTAGTTGTAAATGCTCCAACACTGGAAGTTTTAAAGAAGAGGTTGGATAAACACTTGTCTGAAGTGGTGTAGGGTTTCCTGCCTAAGCAGGGGGTTGGACTAGAAGACCTCCAAGGTCCCATCCAACTCTGTTATTCTATTTCTAAGTTGGCTTTCAGAGTCACAGAACACATAGCAGGTGTCCCATAGGGTTTGCAACTTTCGGCAAAGTGTTTGGTTGGCTGTTGTAGAAGTGAGATTCCCCACTTGGGCTTCCAATTTCCTCCAGCTGCATTTTCTTAACGGATGCTAGAGTATATGCAGAATTCAACAGATAAAAGCATGATCTCTTTGAACGATCATACTGATGCTTAAGAACGAAAGGAGTATTTATTTGACAAATTGGGGCCAAGTCTACTTTAGCTTCACAAAGTTTTCAGTGATCCACCAGGAGATCCATCAGAAACTGGCCAGGATTCATTGTGAAATATTTCTGCTTTATGAACATATTTCCTAAGAGATTTAACTTACTCAGCTGTAGACTAACTTTTGAGCAGACATGGACAGAATTGTGACCGGATACACATATGTGCATACACAATATTCCTGAAGATATATGGAGGAATAGTATTGGTAACACATACCTGGCCACTGAAGATGTAGTCCAGAATCTCTTTCATGGTATCCACAGATATCCCTTCAAGTTCAATTTTATACACAGATCCATCATCCTTGGGAGAGTTATAGTTCAGCTTTGTTCTGTAAAAGACAGACTTTAAGTTTTAAAAAAGCAACACGAAGAGGGCAAACATCTCACAAAATTACACATGAGAAACAGCCTCCAGAGTGTTTCCAATTATATAATCTTCTGTGGTTGTTCTCAAAAATTCCAATACACAAGTAGAAAATCCTTAGAACTAAGTTAACACTTCATGATGTTCAGTGCTGTCTCGTGGCATTTTAGTACTCCACTAAATGAAAAAAAAAACCACTCTTTTTCATTTTATTTCTCAAATCTCAGATAAGTTGTACATTTGTCAGGTCCATATGGATACCTGAACATTTGTACAGAATAATTCCAAATTATGTAAGGATACATTTTTCCAAATGCAACAAATATAAGTCAGTCTAGGACTGGAAAACAAGGCCCGGGTGACACGTTGTGGCCCTTTATCAGGAATTGCATGAATTGTCCAATTAAACCACATAATTAAAGAAAGTTTAAATTTTAAACTTCAGGGACTCTCAATTTGTCAGAATCGCAAGAATAGTAGAAGCTATTACAATGGCAGAAACAACAGAATCAATCAAGCAAAATTTGAATTATTTGACAGCTAGATTCATATGAAACCCTGGACGCTGACTGGGTCTGGTCTTGAGAGCCACTACTTAAGCTAGACAAGGTTAATGTCATAGTCACGTCTCTGTTAAGAATTGGTCAAAAGGCCATGCTGTTTGTTCTGTCTTGTCAATGAAATCTCGACATAACTTTGCTGTGGCCTTCATTGAAAGAAAAGGATGCTCTGCAAAACATGTCAGCATGTGGGAAAATCTCTTCCTGCAAACCAACCAGCTGACTTGAAGCCTGGGTGATTGGGCAGGCACATGTAATCCTTCCTGATGGGAGCCCCAGCAGAATTGTTCTCTTTGCCACATACATGCACACACACACAGCCAGGAAACAGCTTTTGTGGGCAAGATTACAAAGGACGCGTTACACAGCAGTTCTTATGAGTATTTTATACAGACTAGCCTTTTCTGGTTCAGCTTTCTGATTCAGTCTATGTAATTTTCCACTTAAAAACTTGAACTTACACACAGCGAAGAAACTTGCAATTAGAAACTCTGCAGAGATTCTCAACTATCAACTAGAAGTGAATCCTTGGTGAGAAGTTATTAGAAATAAAATGCAGATTAACATAGCTATTCCCAGGACTTGTTTCGAGGTATACATTTACATGCATGAGATATGCAATAAGCTCCTAAGCATAAAAAAATCACTGAGCATCAGTTATGCAGGATGCGGAGGGAGAGCCGTAAATCCATCCAGTGACATCAGTTTAATGGAATTTAAAGGCTTGCTCGCCATCAATAACGGCCCTCTTTCAACCTCCGACTTTTATTGCACCCATGTATCAGCTTGTTAACTATTTGGTGATTTGATTATATATACAGAGCTGTAAGCTGCTAAAAGGTTTGTTTAGACAATTTATCTCTTTGTGTACTGTATATGCATTTATCTACTTGTGTGCACAGGTAGATGAATCTATAGCGGATTCACTGAGAAACATAAAACACAAAGAGTTTAATCTACAGAAACCACACAGCAAATCTAACTCAGGACACCTTTCTCAGAATCCTGAGTCAGCATTAAGCTTTTATTAAAGGTGGCAGAAAAGGGGAATTTTTTTTTTTCCAGCAAACGCCTGATTCCAATCCCTTCCCTGTAGTCAAAGTCAGGATCACTGCTGATATGGATAGCAGACACAGAGAGAGAGACAGGGGGATAGAAAGAGAGAGAGACCAAGAAGGGCGAGAGAGGGAGGGAGAAAGAGAGAAAGACAGGAAGACAGAGACAGGGAGAGAGACACAGAGGAGGGAGAGACCAAGAGACCAAGGGGGGGAAAGGGAGGGAGGGAGAGACCAAGAGAGAGAGAGGGAGAGAGACAGGAAGAGAGAGAGACAGACAGACAGACAGGAAGAGAGAGACAGAGAGAGGGAGGGAGGGAGAGCGAGCTTTTGTTCAGGTTTACGGAAGTTTCAATCCAGCACTCATTTTATTAAATTCAAGACATAACATAATGGAAAGTTCCTTGAGTCTCTCTGCCCCCGAGTTACTCATTATGTAGATAAGAAGGAAGGTGCTCTTCCTTATTTGTTTTCCTCTTCCCCCCACATACTGGAAGGGAACTGACATCAAAGCAAAGATCCTCAAATGGGAAAAGGGCTTCAGGGAGAACCAAGGGTCTATGCTCCTCCCTGCTTATGCATTCTTCCAGCCTTTTATAATTCCCTGGAGATGTGTCTGGGGTGAATCAGTGTTTAAAGAGGCGCATATAGCCTCTTTGCCCTGTGGAAGCAACCGTATGGATTTCATTACTTCCTAAATCTCACCTACAGCTACTGATCCAAAGCAACACAGCAGTTGTATTTTTTTTTCCCCCAGCTAAATCCTACATGAAAATTTGTGGGCTGCCAGAATGATTTCCCCATGTTCACCCCAATGAAGTCTTGCTTAATTATGTAATATGTAAGGCGGCTTTAATGTGGTGTGTTTTCACTCTATAGCTGTAATGTTATCCCCTTGTTTTTCTAATTTGATTTCATTAAAGTGCATTTTAGGGGGCTTTATCTTACAGAGTTGAGACCCTGAAACAGACATGCCACCCTAAGATCAGTTCCTGTCCCCCACAAAACAAACAAAGGTTTATTATTTTTTCTGCATGTCATACCTTAGGCCCTTTGGCAGCACAAATTAAAAGATATATGGTAAGCTTTAACCACACCCTGTTCCCACTGCCAATTTTCTGAAAGTTATGGTTGTATGTTTTCTTTTCAGGTGCTCTACACAAGAACCACTTAAAACAAAAACAAACACTCTGTGTAAAAAACCAAAGGGACTCTACCCTTCCATTTGCAGAAGGAGCTACTACAATATTTATACTTAAACTTCATGAACTATTTCTGTTTCCCTATCCGCTCACATATTCTCTCCTAAGTGCATTAGTAGGTCAGCGGTATCCTAAAAACTGGACCAGTTCTCTTAAAAGGCCTGCCAGAGGAGAATCTTCTCTTGGAAAGTAACTTCTATGTGAACTTCAAAGCTGATTTAGCGGTAAGAAAACGGGGATGTAAAATCCCTATTAGGAGATAGCAGCTGAACAGGAGATGAAGTAGCAACACAAGATAGCTGGGTATACGCTCCCTATTTCTGGCAAGACATATTGCATTTATGAAATGTTGTATGTGCACCAGCCCAAACTGAACCAGCTGCAGGGTGAAGGCTTCTTTATGGAAAGTTATACTGGTCCACAGACAGACAGATGTTGGTAGATAGATGTTTTTTCAACTTCCCAGTCTGCAGCTGAGAGTTAGCACTTAGCCCAAAGTCACCCAGCTACTTTCTGTGCCTGGGGAGGATTAGAAGATGGGCCTCTTTGCATTTGGTCTGGCAGCTTAATTACTACATAACACCCAGCTCTTGTATATACAATAGACACACATGGAAGATTTAACATACCGTATTTTTTGGAGTATAAGACACTCTGAAGTATAAGACGCACCAAGCTTTTGAGGAGGAAAGAAACCTGCCTCTGCCTCCCACCAATTTGCCTCCTTGCAGCAAACAGCCTGTTCAGCTTCAGACCAGCCTGATCAGTGCAAGCAGCTGATTGTCAGTTGGATCAGCTGTTTCGGGCTGCAGGGATTGCCATCGCCTATTGCCACTTCTCTGTGCCCCATCTTTGGCCTCCGTGCACCCCGTTTTCCACTTGTTCAGGTTCTTCCCACCCGGAATGGGCAGAAAATGGGGCGCGCGGTGGCCAAAAACAGGATGTGGAGGCCAAAAATGGGGTGTGCAGAGGCAGCAATAGGCGATGGCAATCCCTGCAGCCTGAAACAGCTGATCATTGGGAGGCCGATCCAACAATCAGCTGCTTGTGCTCATCGGGCTGTGCTGAAGTGATCAGGCTGTTTGCTGCAAGGAGGCCAATTGCTGGGAGTCAGAGGCTGAAGGGTGGGGGCGGGTGGGTGGGCGGGGCTTTGGCAACATTTGTTGTATAACACGCACCGCACAGACATTTCCACCACTTTTCGGGGGGGGGGGGGAAGAGTACATCTTATACTCGGGAAAAATATGGTAAGTCTATGTTTTGGTTTGCTTTCTCTGATAATTTATTTATCTTTTTGGACTCATGCACACATTGTAACTTTGAGAACATGCTTTACTTGGGGAAACCATTTTCAGAACGAAATCTGGAGCACTGTTCTTCTCTTGGTTTCCAAAGTGTATGTAAGTCAACTACTGAACCTTGGCCAGGGTGACTTTGGGCCAGTCACTCTCTCAGCTCAACCCATTTCACAGGGTTGATATTGCAGGGAAAACAGGAGGCCAGAAGGAGCATTATGTACATTTGCTTCCCTGAGTTACTTACAAAGTAACAAAAGGAGGATTTTAAAATATTAAAACAAACACAGCATATAAGTCAGTAACATAGTATCTAAATGAACTTAGGGTAAATTTTTGTTGTTGTTGTTAACATGGATGGTATGCAAATATTCTATATTGTAAATACATAATCATGTTGCAGGACACAAAGTAAGCAAACTAGGATAGCATGCATGGCTTCTGAAGTTTCCTCCAACCTTCTTAACTGCAGTTCCATTCTGGTTCGGGTGACCAGAAAGGAGAAGATGAGAAGCTGCCATGGGGCATTGTTGCCCAATTTTCTCTCCGACAGAAATGTCCTGTGGGAATTATTCCTAGCGTTTTTCCTTTTTATCCCACCTGGCCCCAAATTCAAGCTCGATCTCTCTTTGCTTTGCTGCTCCCTTCCCATCAAAGTTTTGTTGTGTTTTGCAGAGCTATCCCTTGTTGATGGACAAGGAGAGACAGTCAAGCGTTCTAAGCCCAGTGATATCATCATGTTTTATTCCCAACATACTATTGGATGGGAAGATGAATAAAAATGAATCACCTCCTGAATTCTAAGTTCTGAGTTCTCAGATTTTTCTTTTGGGGATGTAAGCAAAAAGAGTCC